GCTATGTTACTGGATGGGGAAAAAAAATCTACCACAGCGTAGGTATAAGAAGTACCCAGCCTGCTTGCACAAGATTGCCCCGTGTACCTGGCACTTTCTGGGTTTTGTGAAGCTACTATGAAAGCCTTAGGTATCTCAAACACAGGAAAGGAATGAACTTCTTTTATTTTACTGTTGCTGCTAAGATACAGCCCTCTATGACTTATTTTAATTGTCTCCTTTATTCTACAAAATATTTAGAGCATAAAGCAAAATATTTATTTAGACTTAAAAAAAATAGAAAACTACACATTGTATATTATGATCTCCAACCTCCTATGCCTAAAACCTTTTGCTTCTTGGCCTCCAGTAAAATAAGCCACTGGTCTACCGCTTGGCCCCCTGTAGAGTAGTGCATCATAAAACCATCACCCTCGTTTTCACACAGCTGGCAGTCACTGCTCACAGAGAATAAAGAAGTTACCAAGGAGACAGGGCCAACTCCCCTTTCCAAAATGGCTGGTTCATCCAAGTCATAACAAATATCCCCAGAAAAAACAACCTGAGATACTCACAGATACAGGCAGCCCCAAATCTGTATTCAGTAATTACGTAGCTAACCGAGTTCACATCATCTTTCAATAGAGTAACAAAGATAAAGATTTCACTAAAATGTAATCCTATGTAATCACTGTTCACAAAACAAATCCTCATGTCCATCTAAAACAATGTGGAAAGTTTAAGTTTCAATATGTTTTCTACCTCTACTTAGCGCTTTATTAATGGGATGACCACTCTGCTTGACCTGTTGCTGAAATTCTTAGAACTCCGGGAGCCCATATGGACAAGCAGATGGGTGGTGTAACTTAATGCCATTATTCTAAGGGTGAAGTAAGGGAGTAACATAATTTGCATTCCTTCCCATCCTCCCTGCATACCTATTATTAGCTTCATTTTTAATTCAGACATCAGAAGGGAAGATAATACCTTGCTACCAAGGCCCAGATGCCAACTAATTACTACAAGAGACTCCAGCCTTGACATCAGAGGCCAGGCCTCTGACCACACTCCGTCTTACCCAGTGACCCCACTGTGGTGATTAATAGGTTGAGTGCTAAGCCCTAATGAGTGTGTCAGATCTTAGATGTTCTCTAAGCTAATGTAATTAGCATTATGTTGAACAGGGTATTTCAGTCACTTGGTAGAGAGATTCATACTTCATAGTAAACTATATGCCTTTTCACCTTAATGGTCTTTGAATTTATATTATAATCATTAATCAAAAAAGCCCTCTATAAATAGAGATCTTTCAAACACTAAAGAAAAATTTAAACATTTTTATTTTTAGTTATTTATTTTTAATATGTTTTTATTGTTTTCAGAGAGAGGAAGGGACAGGGAGAGAAAGAAACGTCGAAGAGAGAGAAACATTGACCGGCTGCCTCCCTCCTGCCCCCTACTGGGGGTCTAACCCGAAACCCAGGCATGTATCCTGACCTGGAATGGAACTGGCTACCTCCTGGTACATGGGACTATGCTCAACCAACTGGTCCACACTGGCCGGGCAAATTTAAATATTTTTAAGTCAAATATTTATTTTCTTCTACAACAGTGGTTCTCTAAGTTGTACATAAAGTGAAGTGTTTTTCAGAGATGTTTGTTGAAATGCAAGTTTCTGGGCTCTACCAACAGAAATTCTCATACAAGGGGGTTTGGGATAAGACCCAGGATTATACATTTTTAACAAGTGACCCATGATTGAGAAGCAGAAAATCTGTGGACCTCACTTGAAAAAACACTCCCACTTTAGTAACAGGACCAATATCTGTGTCTTATAGTAATTGAATCTATTGGGCTTTTTGTTCTAAATAGTTATGTTTTTGAAAAAAGTTATCTGCATCCACAGAGTAGGAATTGTTTTCATATTGAGATTACAGTTTTAAATGTGACAATTATTTCTTGTTAAAAGATTAAAAACTAATAACCAAGAGAAGACATGGATGTTATTTCCATAAACCACATAAGCTTATGTGGGCTCCATTCAACAGTGGACATGGCAGGTGGTAACATTTCTATCCAGTAGACAGTGGGCTGGAATTGCTTTTCCACTTTTAAGGGAAAAACAAAGAACAGAAGAATTTCTACAATTCCTCACTTTTCTCCATGGCCAGAGATGACATACAAAATGTCTCAGCCTTAATAATTAAGGACTGTAAGCAATATTCCAATTACTTCCTAGGATCTCACCTAATATTACCATCAACTACTATGTACTAAGTATTTTCGTGTATTTGGCATTGTTTCCTTTAAACAGCCAGGTACAAAATGCCTGTTGACCTTTAATGACATATTTATTCACCTATTATCCTAAACATTTTAGGTAGTTTTTCCCAATTGATAACTATTTAACCAAATTACTCTTTTCTTGATGAACTTCAAAAGAGTTCTCCTTTGTGCTTTTTAACATTTATACTGAATATATTAAAAACAAAGAAAAGCATGAATAAAATGAAAAGATTTATTTAATGATAAATATGTTATAGGCATTTACTTATAAATTGATACTGAGATTTAATGGTTTGAGAAATCTATGCCTCCTTTTAGAGCCAGCCAGGGAGTAGAAGGCTGCCATATGACCTTGGAAAGTCTATAAACACATCCTGCTTTCATGGAATGGAGAGTGATTGCTGGGCTATCAAGCTCTGTCTGAGACTCAGTGGATGCTACCCTGTTTTGTTTCTTCCTCTAGAAAACCTGCATTTCCCAGCCACTCCAGCCCTGCATCTAGGCAGGGGAGTATAATCAGTGAATGTGTGCAGAAATGAAATTTTTTCCTTCCAGACTTGGCCCTTAAAACATCCCATTGATCTTCCATGCTGTCTGCATTCATTCCCTGTCCAGATGGATGGAGCAGATTTGGGAACACGACAAAGCCTTAAGTGATGGCATAGCCACTGGATGAAACATTGCTTGAGCATGTATTGCTTGAGCAAAATAAACTCGTATTGCCTTAAGGCACTGGGACTTTGAGGTTGTTTGCTTAAAACTAATGAAGTCAATTAAGACTTGACTTAATTAAAAAGTTATACAAATTTTCTTCTTGCTTATGAGTTTGTCAACTATCTACTCAACAGAAAATTATGACTATATAGGACCTAAATTCTAAATTCAATAGACATGCTAATTCACTACAGGAATTTGTTTTACTTGTGTTTAAGAAGAGGGGAAAAATCTTCATATCTTAACATTAGCACAGTTTGGAGCTCAGGACAAGATGAGTTTGTGTGTTTTCTAGCAAATCATTATTAAAGAACACCTGGCCCACGGGATACAGGAAGAAAACCCGAAGGGCAGTATCTACTATTTCTACAGGCATCAGCAACAACAGTCACAAGCCTTAAAACAACTAACAACTGTCCAAAGGAGAATCTCAGAAAGCGTTCTAGAAGCAGAACTTTTCACTGACATACCCAAGTAGCATTTTAAAGATACCTTTTGTTATTGGAACAAAAATGCATCAATTTAACCTAACCAAAAGAGTAAGGGAGACGTATGCTGAATTAATGTAAAATTGCTGACATACAGAAAATGGAAAATACATACACACACACACAAGATTATTGGTGGACCAAATTTTTACCTTGGTGTACAACAGACAATATCCTAAAGAATAATCATTATGTCACTAAACAAATGACCTTGGTGGGCAAAACACCTGAGTTAGGTCTATAGGAAGCCTAGCCTAGACCTGGCTCTGTCATTTTCTGCAGGTTAAGAGGAAGCATGAGAAAGACAAAAAAACCATAGTGATGAAATGTTTGGCGTCTCCATATCTATCTGCCACTAACGAGCTGTTTGATTTGGTTGGAAAAACTATTTTTTCTCTCTATGTCCTCAACTACAGAATGAAGGGAAGACAATACCTATTTTATAGATTATTACGAGGATTAGGTCATATGACACGCAGCAAGCATTTAGAGAGGCCTTAGCTGAAAGTTAATATCAATAAGTATTGGCTATTTTAACTAATGACATAGCTCCATCGCTGTGAGCCATATTATCCTCACCTGGAAAGTAACAAATTGCACTAGATGACTTGTATGAGCCCTTTTAAGCACTGTATTCTGAGCTTATACCTGTCTCTTAAAGTCACACATGCAGTTGAAAGATAAAAACTTGAATCTAAATATTTTAAGTAATGACTTAAAAAATCTATAAGGCAGTCTGGTCTGTGGTTGAAATTGATTTAAAGAAGATAGGTGACATGAAAATGCACTAATTCATACACACACACACACACACACGTATATACACACATGTAATTTTTAACATTCAGAAGTGATATCATCCTTCAATTTATTCATTATCCCTCATGAATCATACTCTCATTTGAACATGAAATGTAACAAGATAACTGTCAGGCAACCATTTACATTTTAAGATGTCATATTAAATGAGTGCTACAGAGATAAAGAATTATTTTAATCACACAAACCTAGATGCAGCCCAAAGGTACATGAGAACACTCCACTTTCACAGCTTCAGGTGAAGTACTTCCTAGGCTCACCCACTGTCAACACCTTGAGTTTCTTTCCCATTCAGAGGAAAGTGTTTGAACTAACTGCAGCAATAATAAGAAATGATACTAACACTGTAGTCTAGACTGTATCCCAAGGTAAATGGAAAGAAGTCTCCCTTAGAAGCTCCATAATTTAGTAAATCTTAGTTTGTGCAATTACAGCCTCATTCAAACAAATACTCTAGCAAGACTCAGAAGGATGTGAATAGTTCAAGATATTGGATCACTGAAATTATTAAAAATTCAGTTCTAACTATTCTTTTAGTTGATTTTAAGTGACAATAATATGAAATTGGGGCTTTAATATATCAAGATGCTATATGCACAACATTGTGGCATGGAGGGATTGTTTTCCTAATATCAAGATGCTATATGCACAACATTGTGGCATGGAGGGATTGTTTTCCTAATCCAGAATTCTATTTATTGCAAAGAATCTTACCTCCTGCATACATTACAGCCAGCATAATGGATGATATCCATGCTATTTCACTGTAGCTAGTGTTGAATATCTGCTGAATCTCTTTGAAGAATACTGTGATGGCTTTGGGGAAGGCGTACGAGAATCCAATGGAGATAAAAGACGCTGCAACGACTACCCAGCCCCATCCTCCATCAGGGGGTGGGTGGAGTGGGGGGCCACCTGCGGGTGGTGGCATTTCGGCTCTTCTACTGGAAATTCAGGTAACCTATATCAAAATAATGAAAGAAAAGTTTAAACCATATTTTCATTTTTATATATCACTCTTGATAGTCACTAAAATAATATTTTCCAGTTATAACTACAGCTATATAATGTTTCATAAATATTTTGTAACACTCTTGTACTCAGAAAGTTATCAGAAAATTAACTAAAAAAATGGAGTGAGGTATGTAACTTTGGCTGTTATGTGCTAAAGCTTGAAAGCATTTAATTTGTTCATGGAAGCAAAAGTTACTCCAAGAAAAGTTAAGATTTCATATTTGTACTGAAGCACCAGAAGCAAAATTAAAAGCTATCTCAATCTGATTTCTAAGTGTGAAGAAAATGGAGCTATCATCACTTAAAACTGAATATTTATTTTAAATCCAAAATGTTTGAGTTTTTAATACAAAGGTTAAAACGGACCACTTATTAAAAAAAAAAAAAATTGAGTACTTAAAAATATTTCAGCACAGATTTGTTTTCTAAACCTATAAGATTAAAAATTGTATGGTTCTAAAGAACTAAGATACTTTTAATGCACTTCCAATACTGGTGCTGCCTCCCATCATTTTTTAAAAAATATGTCTTCATTGATTTCGGAGAGATTGGAAGGGAGAGAGAAAGAGAGAGAGACACATCAATGATGAGAGAGTCATTGATCGGCTGCCTCCTGCACGCCCCCGACTGGGGGTTGAGCCCGAAACCCGGGCATGTGCCCTGACCGGGAATCGAACAGCGACGGCCTGGATCCTAGGTCGACGCTCAATCGCTGAGCCATGCCAGCTGGGCTCCCNAGCGACGGACTGGATCCTAGGTCGACGCTCAATCGCTGAGCCATGCCAGCTGGGCTCCCTCATCATTTTTTGAATAATATATTTTATGTATTTTTTTGTAGCAATAAAATTCTCTCAGTCAAATGGATGGTATGTTATTGTTTACTAAAAAAAGGTACTATATTTTTGGGCAGGCCTAGGAACACAACAGCTTGCTTTAAGGTATAGAACAGCCACTCTCCTGTGGAAGCAATGATCACACATAATTTCATACAATTGATACTGAATTAAAAACATCTTTGCTCCCTAATATCAATGTTTCTTTGTATTCTGCAACTTTATTGAATTCGTTGATTAGTTCTAATAGTGTTTGGTAAAGTCTTTCGGGTTTCTATAGTATAGGTTACATCATCTGCAAACAGAGACAATTTTATTTCTTCCACTGCAGTTTGGATGCTTTTGATGTTTTTTTTTTTTGTATAATTGCTCTGACCAGGACTTCCAGGACTTAATCACCATTTATGTGTCCTGATCCATTAATTGATTCATTCTGATGACATGAAAAGATTTGTATGTCTTCAATATATTTACAGTCTGCTTTTATGATAAATTTTGCTTTCTTGGAAATAACACAAATTATGTATTTAATTTGAATTTAAGCTTCTCCTTGGCCATCAGTTAACCCAACATAATGGGTTTACAGCACATGACCACTGGAAATAATATCTTTTTAAAAGCATACTACTTAAGAAAAAAGGAGACATTGTACATATTGGTTAAACAAGCTGAAAACAGCAATCAGTCTTTGAAAGTTGTCTAAAGAATCCGAATTTCTATATTATTGAAGTTTGTTAGTACATTTTAAAGTAGTCAACTTTATTATTGCTTGAACATATCTTTTTTAAAACCTAGGAGAATACTGAGGAAATATCCAAAGGGCATGTATGTGGGCACCTACTTTTTGTTTTATTACCAGAGTGTAAAAACAATTATGAGATTCAAAGTCCTTATTCTGCAATTTTCCTGCTAGTATAATGGAGAACAGAAACCTTTCATTATTAATTCATGAGTTTAAACTGCTGTAGCTTTTATTACATCTGCTATAGTAAACACTTAAAAAGACAACCGGATGATTTATTTTTCAGTCATTTCAAAAGTCATAACAACATTTCTAACTAATTTTAATTCTATATTTTAAAATAATTATATCAATGTAAATACTAAAATGTACTAATATTCAATTATGTTATAAATATTAATATTAAAATTTACTAATCAACTAGGTTGATGTTGAGATTTACACTTTACAGACAGAAATCTATGCTCATAAAACAAGTGAAGGGCCTTTAAAAAAAAAGCATTATATGATTGAGCTATTTTTTTTCTCTTTTCATAATTCACCAGTTTATCTTAGTACATGATCTTTTATTCTCTGTTTCCAGCATATTTCCTTAATTTTAATTGTAACTGCATACTCCAAATTGCAAGTCACTGCTCATATACCTCTTAACACTTCCTTATCTCTTACCTGTTTTGTTTCTTCCATACAAATTGAAATCTGATGATTTTTTAACAAAATCATTGGAAAGTGAACCCAAGACCAGTTAACCCTTGAAAAATTCTACTTTTAAGATTGTCATCTGTTCACTATTAACAACTATTGAGTCGATTCATAGTCCAGGCCCAAATCATACACACTCATTGGCCTCATTTATTTTCCTGTCCACAATTCTGTAATATTTTATACAACTTATGGCTTTTATTTGTGGGCATAAGCAAGAAAAACAGAGTTAAAAGTATAACTTCACCTGTTGACAAATTCCCACTTGAGCAGACTCCTTTGGTTTATATGTGGACTTGGTAAGCCCAGTCACTATTCCTTGAAGTGTGATATTTGAAGGCAATACGGAGGAAGAGAGGTAGAGCGGACTCCGGATTATCTAAAGAAACAGAAAGCAAGGGTTACACATATAACTAAGTCCCATAAGCCTCACTGGAGTCACTCACCATAAATCGCCCCCATACATTGTAACCAAGGTTTAACAATGAGCAAAACTGAATATATGGGATTTGGCAAAAGCAGGTTTACAGCTGTGAGTATGTATTATTATTTATTAATTATTGTATTATTTTCCATATAAACAATTGTAAACCTATGTTTGCCCCACCCTGCATATATACATATTTAAATATATGTACACATATATCTATGTTTATATTTCTTTGTCAACCCATTGACAGGGCCACTAAGGTGTAAGGAAAAGGGTTATATATGTGCATGAGAAAAAGTAAAAAAATATAACATGAAGACTTCGGTTTTTAAACAATCAACAATGGATTACATACGCACCAATATGAGAAGGACATTTATTGGTATTCACTGGGTACAATTCAGTTAAATAAAATATCCATTAACAATGAACATAGTAGAAAGTTTAAAAGAAAATTATTAGAAGTACCATCAATAATATACATGTCTTACAATAAGACAGACTGGGTCCTGAGAAAACAGTACTTTAGAAATCTTCTGATATGGAATTCACATTTCCTAATCAAGTCCGGGTGATAGATGAACCTGCGAAATCTCCCTAATACATCAAACACCTTTATTGAGCCTTAAATCTGGAGATGACTATGTAGCAGCTAGTACTTTATTTGGTTTGGGCCAAGCATTCCTTTGCTTAGAGCAAAGCTAAGAAGAAGTGAGCTCTTCCAGCTACACCGCCGGCTGCCCGCCTTGCGCCCGGCCACGGGTCCTAGGCGGTGCGCGCGGCGAGGCCGCCGCCAGGCGGGCGCTTTGTGCTCAAGGAGCCAGGCCAAGGAGCACGGAGGGGCCGCGGCCAAGATCGGCAACAATCAGAAAGGCATGGGCAAAATCTGAGAAATAGGGCCCAAATTCAAGTTTTAACTCGTGCTGAGAGCGAGGCGTTCACCTAAATGGGTCTCCTGGGTCTTGGGAGGCTTTGTGACTTTTTAAAGCCAGATAATTCGGGAATAGCAGCTCCATCCTACCACAAGTAACCAGCCCATCCACATGTAGAAACCCCTTTTTTTTATATTTTGAGGAAATACATTTTCTCTCCATTCCCTGTGGCAGGGAGAGCTGCCTTGAGTTCAGGGCCCTCTTGAAAACTGGACTCTGTCCGTCCAGCCTGCGCTTGGTTATCATTACGGCTTACGGAGGCCCACGGAAGAAACACAGGGACAGAGATCTTTACCAGCCCACGTTCCAAGTGTCACCATAACCACAAGATGTTCACAGCACCTTAACCTAACTGGTCTCTTTCCTTCCAGAAAGACTAACCGATATCTGGATTTGCTCTGTTTTGTTTTGTTTTCCAACAAATTGGCCAATAATCCAAGAACCCAGAGCTTGGTAGATATGGCAATAACAGACTATTTCTCTACATTGATTAATAAAGTATATTTTTATACACATTTGTGCAGATATAGTTATGCAATGCACATATTGGCCTTTAGTCTTAAAAATAAAAGGTACTATTTTACCACTGGTGTGTCCGACTAAAATAACAGTAGAAGACCAATAATCCTCAAAGCAAGTGGGAGCTGTCCTTTAATGTAGGAAAGCAACTATTTTGGAAAGCCTCCCGCCATCCACGCAGGCATAAGCTGATTCTCCCCTAAGAAAGCAGTGCTAATTACTGTAACTGGAAGCTGGGCAGTGGTATCAGCAAATTTGTTTTATTTGCAATTCACATATAACCCATGTTTTGTGGTGGATTTTACTTATAGTAGGTGCATTGAAAAATGCTTTAGAGAGTTTAATTTTTTTCTAAAGATTCAATTAATTATCATAATGCCCTGAACTAAGAGGAAGTGGTATTTTTAAAATAATATTTATAGATGAGAGCATAAATAATCAGAGGTGCAAAGTGATTTTTCCAAAGTGTAATGTCCCCTGAGTGATCAAATTGGTACCATGACCGGTATCTTTTCGTCCTTCCCATTGTGACTGATTCCACTTTAACACTGCAACTTGGAGGCTGTTCTTTCTGCTTACAAATGTACTTTCAGTTTTACCTCCACGATGAATTTCTGAGTTCAGTTCTCGCACATAACCTCACCTGTCTTGTCCACTGGAATTCAAATACTCGTCCTTTGGAATTCTAAATCCCAACTATCCTTCAGAGTCTTTGGAAATTCATCATTGTTCCAGCTTACTCCTATCTGTCTTTTTATAATGTTTTTGAGCATACAGACCACAATATAATGTCGTTGTTAACAAAAGGGTGACTAGATGGCTATTGAAAATATTTGGCTATTTTAAGTTGTGGGGATGAACACACTTTCGCCTACCTTCAAGGCTTTTCTGGCTGGTCTGGTAATCAAATAGACATGAGACAGATTAGCAAGAGCAAATAACCAAATTTAATACATACATATGTATGGGAACCCACATACATGAGAGAATCAGAGACCCCCACATGCACAAGGTGTTCGGAGGTAGAACGGGGGATTGAAGTATACAAGACGTTCTGAGTTAGGGATGAGGTAACGCACCTGGGGGCTTCAAAGGGTCATCGCAGGATAAGAGCAGACCTTTACTAAACAGAAGTTTGCCCTGCTCTATAGATGAGTCAAAAGAAGTTATCTCTGATAGTCTCTTATTCTGAGAACCTGATTCAGGTTCTTCTAGGTAATTAATGGAGGGGCAGAAGTTTCTCTTGAGCCTGTGACTACGGTTGCCTTTAGCTCAAAGTAGTCTGCCTATGACAAAGGCACATATTAGGGCGGCTCATTCTGTACCCTCGCAAAGTGTTTTTCAAAAACTTAGCTGGTGGGATATGCTGACACCCAAGAACTTTGCCTTGTCTTCTAGAAATCAACGTGGGTTGATTACTTTATGGAGAAGAACACATAGTATAAAGAAGTAGTGAAACTAGCCCTGGACAGTGTGGCTCAGTTGGTTGGAGCGGTGCTCCATACACTGAAAGGTTGTGGCTTCTGTTCCCGGTCAGGGCACATACCCAGGTTGCAGGTTCAATCTCTGGTCGAGGTGCATACGGAAGACAACCAGTCAATATTTCTCACTCCCATTGATATTTCTCTTTCTCCCTCTCCCTTATTCTCTCTCTGAAATCAATAAGAACATATCCTTGGGTGAAAAAAAAAATAAAATAATGAAACTATCAACTATGGTCATAGTTAGACTCTAGTATTATATTCAAGGGCCTTTCTCTTTCAGTTGTACAGAATAGTAGAATGTTTTTTACATGTTTTATGAATAACTGTTTCTTCAACTTCCCAAATCTAAATCAGGATGCATCAATTTAATGAACCCTTGTCAATAGTCTATGTCATCCAGAAGTTTATATTTCAAAATAGAGTCCAGAAATAATGTACTCAGCAAACTAGTCCCAAATTAAATCAATAGTTGTTAAGAGACTATTGGCTTCACTATAAATTCTTCTAGATAGCTTATAGATAAGGCACAAGTTGTTCTTGACATCCTACCTATAAAGTGGCCTTTGTTTTCACCTAAAGGAATTAATATGTTCTTTAAAGAATAACAAACTAGTCTTTTTGTTTTCTATTTCCTCTTATATAAAAGGATATAGTAATGCCAAATTAATGTACAGTGTTTAAGTTTAGGTGACAGCTCACCCAATTTCTTAACAGGAATTAAACTGAACCAAATATTTTCTTTTCCAACACTTAACTGAATTAAAATTGGAATCTAATTCAGGAGGGTTTTTGTTGTTGTTTTTGTTTTAAGTGGACCATCTTTTAAAACCTATTGACTGATTTACTTTGACAACTAGACAAGAGAGGTATCAACAGTGCATAGCCCTCAAAATGTCAGTAACACAAAACCTGTTTTTAGATGTAAGTTATTGCTGTAGCTAAAACGACTCTGGAAATGTTAATTGTAATAAGGGTCAAAGTAACTAAATATGTTTTTATTTTTATAATGGGCAAGTTAGGAAAAATAATATGAACCAGCACATAATTAAATTGGATATTGGTACCCCATAAAACAATTGCCCTAATACTATACTTTTAGAATCGTGTAAAAGCAATTGTAGTGGCCTGAATAGTGGCTGTCAAAAAGTATGTCTATGTCCTGTCCTGATCCCCAGAACCTACAATATGCCTTATATGGTCCTATAGACTAAATATTTGTGTTCTCCCCAAATTCTTATATTGATACCTAATCCCCAATACGATAGTATTGGGAGGTGGGGTCTTTGGAAGGTGATTAGGTCATTAGGGTGAAGCCCTCATGAATGGGATTGGTGCCCTTATAAATGAGGCCCCAGAGAGCTCTTGAGACCCTTTTGCCCTGTGAAGACCCAGTGAACGAGGAAGGGGGCCCCAACCAAATGCTGAATTTGCTGGGACCTTGATCTTGTGCTTCCCAGCCTCCAGAACAGTGAGAAATAAATTTCTGTTGTTTATAAGCCATCTAGTCAGTGGTATTCTATTATAGCAGCCCGAACAGACTAAGATAAAAATTGGTAGCAGAAGTGAGATGCTGTTGTGACAAATACCGAAAAATGTGAAGTGGCTTTGGAACTGGGTAACAGGTAGAAGTTGGGCAAGTTTTGAGGCACATGCTAGAAAAAAGTTATTGCCATCAATGGACTGTTAAGAGTGATTCTGGTGAGACCCCAGGAAGAAACGTGGAAAGCTGTAGAGAAAGCCTAGATCTTCTTAAGAGAATGCTTAAATCACCCTGAATAGAATATCGGTAGAAATATGGAGAGTAAAGGTCATTCTAAAGAATTCTCAGGTGGAAATGAGGGAAATGTTACTGGACAATGTCGGAAAGACAGTTCTTATTATAAAGTGGAACTGGCTGAATTATGATCATCTTCTAACTTTTACCATAGAACTTCTGATGAAATAGGATATTTAGCTGAAGACATTTCTAAGCAAAGTGTTGAAGGAGTGGCCTTGATTCCTCTTGATTCCTTAT